CTTCTTCTGGAAGCTCACCAGCTAAGTTTTCTTTTTCACAACAGTCTCCATAATTCATCCCCATCCGTATGGCTAATTGTAGTGAATTCTTCTAGAATAGAGGGGCTGGTGAGCTGTATCAACAGTTAAGTCTCACTTGGGCAAAGGGCAGAAGCTTAGTTCTGAGCACCTGTGTCTGGAGGCACAACCCTGCATGTACCTCAGGTGCAGAAGCTTCAATACCGTCTTCTTGCAGTTACATGCATACACACAGATACCCAGATACACACAGAGACCACAAACACACACACACACTTAAAATAAAGTATATTTTTAAAAATTACACATGTAAAAAGTATCCACCACTCTACAATCTCCCAAGCAAAGTCCTGAATCAGCTGCTACAAGTTAAGTGGGAGGAAATAAGCAATAAGGCTCAGGATATGGAAGTCATTTGTCTTGATTGTCTTTAATCATCTTGTAAATATATTTCTCTGCTTTATTCCTAATATCCCTCACACAGTGTGACTCTCCTATTGTGTTATTAGGGCTCTGTCTGCAGAGCTGGGGCATTCTCTTGTGTGTCTTTTTTGGTATAACTTGGTTCATTGGGAACAGAGGATTCTTGCAGGAAAGTTTCATCCACTGATTTGTAGGTGCTTCCCTGTGATCTTTTCTTTTTGTGTGTGTGTGTTCCCCACAAGCTTTTTAAAAACATAATTAAACAAAACCAAATATAATGCATAGGTAGAAAATTCTGATGGGGGGTGAGCCCTTTCATAAAGAAGTGTAGATTAGTTTCCAAAGTAATTGATATTACACTTCCAAATGGGGCTATAAACAGAGTTTTTCTAATTCCATTTATAGGTATGCACCAAGCATGGCTCACATACAATTAAAATAAGAGTGTCATAGTAAAATCCTATGGGAACTTTAGTCTCTGAAATATCAAGTTTCATAAGGTGGTGGGCTTTGACAGAATTTAAGAAAGAGTGCATTGTTTACTAAAATTTAAATGTAATTGTCATAATATTAAAGTCATAATCATTTTAATGAATCTTGTATTTGTGAATTTTTTGAGTTTTGGGTTTTTATTTTAAGATAACCAGCTATTAATCAATTTAACTGTGGGAAAATTATAATGAATTATTCAAGATCAATGTTTAATTGCTCAGTCGGCATGGAGGCTCATGCTGTAATCTCAACACATGGGAAGTAAAGAATCAGGAATTCAAGGATAGCATGGGATACACATAACCATGCTTCATACAAACAAAAACTATAACCACTTAAAGTAAATTAAGCTTTTTAAAGATCTGAACACATTTTCTCTTTGAAAAGCTCATTTGCTTCTGAATCTTTTACAGGAACTGAGACACAGTAGTCCCACCTGCCAGGAAAGCTAGAGCTCAGGATTCAAGGCCAGCTTCAAAATCACCACCTAGAACAAAATACAAACCCCTATTTCCATTTGTTTATATGGCTTATATAACCATTGAATATGTTTTCTTAACCTGAAATGTCTGAACACTATCTTTAAGAAGATTATTAATGGCTTGACGACTATCTATACTTACAAATGCTGGGAAAATTAATTCATGCTCTCTCTTTCTCTAGCTCCACTACTGAAATGCTCCTTTGTTACTACTAAGCAGCTGGCAGTCACATTTTGAGCATCCCCATCCCTGTTGGAACTCACTATCCTAACAGTGGGTAGCCAAGCTTCCCTGGGGCTTCTGAGTAAAAGAAGCCTTAGTTCCTTAACACCTTCTCCCAGGCCTACTAATCAATCCTGTACACTTGCCCTTCATTCAGGAAAGACCATGAAAAGATGGACAGTTAAAAAATGTTTCAGCCAAGCGGTGATGGTGCACGCCTTTAGTGGTGGACTAGGGAGCAGAGGCAGTGGCATTCCTGTGATTTTGAGACCAGCCTGATCGACAGAGTGAGTTCGAGAGCAGCCAAGGCTACACAGGTTTCTGCATCAAAACAAACAAAAAATTGGAGGAAGGTGCCTTAAGTAATTTTTAAAAATTATCTCCTTAAAGACCGTCACCATTTGACCTTTTGAGAAGTACACACCAGGAATGGTTCAGTTCCGTTGTGCTGTTTCCTTTGCCTGGGATTTCACTTCAGATCTGACCACAATGATATGGGGGATTGACCCAAGGACTTGTGATCCTCAAAAGCCTTGTTTCAGCCTGTGTGGCTCTCAACACGTCTGCTTTACAGGAAGGGAATTCTGGTGCTGTAATACTTGAGGAGATTCTCATCTGTAGGCTTTAGAATTATCTTATCTGCCTTACTCATCACCCAACCAAGAACAAAACCAAAGAAAATCTGCCTTGGATCCTTCCCTGCACTAAGCATTCTGAGAAGTTCATCTTTTTTGATATCGAGAAGAATGTAGTCATACATACTTCATGGCGAGTTCAAGTCTTGCTTCAAGAAACTTGGCAGGGTCAGCCAGGTATCCATGGTTCTTTGTGTAATGCGGCACCAGTGCTTCATGGGGGAGTATTTGCTTGGGATTGGGCTGTCCCCAAAGAAAGAAAGGAACAAGCATACACAGGATTTAAAGACTTCTTGGGTAATACAAGTCTGTAGTAACAACACCGCCATTTCTTTCAATCGCAGCAATGGCTAATTTTGAAGCCAACTACACCTCAATATTCACTTTTACTTGAAAAGTATCAGCACCCTCTTCAATCAGCTGGACCCCATAATCCCTTTTAAGTGCTTAGATGGTCACATCACTCCCATTGACAATGTGAGTTAAGTCAATAGGTTGCATTGGATCAACTCGCCCTAAATCAATGAGATACTGCAGTCTCCTGAGACTCAAAGGCTGATGGCTGATGGCTGATGCCTGAAACTGTGTCCTTCATTGAATCTGTATTTTGAGATTCAGATGTAGAACGGAGTCTGCCCTCCCTCTAAGCCCAGTCAGAGCCTACTCCTCTCTGCATTTCTCCTTTATGTTCTGCATATTCCTACCTCTTCTCCGATCTGTTGAACGTTGTTACAAATCCTGCAATCAGCACTGGGGTTCAGGTTGGCCAGGTTCTCTCGCAGTAGGGAGTGGAGCATTTTCGTAGTATGTAATTTTACTGTGGAGGGAAATGTTGCATCTTTTCCACGGGCTTTTTGATATCATAAAACCATTTTAAGAGACTTTTGTTTTTAAAGAGAAAGTAATATATACATGAGTCTAAAGTCACAGTAAGGAAGTCTTCTACTTCTGTGTGTTGATAACTTGAGGAAACACTGGTTTTTTTCTTCTACTGGCAAAGAGACTAGGAAACTTCATTAAATACTGGTTTGGCTGAAGGAAAGTGTCATCAACTCAGCAAGATATTTTGCTGAATCATCGAAATGCACAGAGCTAAAAGCATTAATTTTCCCTGAAAAGTATTCTTGAAATCTGTGATGTTATGGAAACAGAAGCAAAGTCAGCTGAAAAAGCACAGTCAAATCTACCTTTAAGTGGAAAAAAATATTTATATACATATATATATAATCAATTTTGAGTAAAGTGTTGTTATTTATTATAGGACAGAACTTAATCCAACTTGGTTTTTATGAAAGCAATTTAATATAGTCCTTGATCCCATATACCTTTCATATTGAAATGTTAGCCCTACTTGTACAGTTCATTAGACCACTCCTTTTTCTCAGTGGTTCCAAGGAATATATTCCAGAAACCATGACTTGCTACATAATATAAAGACAAAACAAAATGAAAATGAGAGTGACATAGACAGAGAGGAGCAACTTTTAAGTGACAAAGAAGTCAAAGCTGACAAAGGTCTCATTACTGTTAGTCTCAAAGTTTCTGTTCTTGCTTGCAAAACAAAGTAAGTGAAATTTGGTTTGAACTACTAATAATGAACTTCTCTGGTGGGTAATTACAACACCACTTCCTATTATGACGAGCAGGATTGCTTATTTGTTTGTTTTTAGCAAATTTATCTTGTAATTCTGATTGCAATGCATTTTAATCTCATTGATTTCTGTCTGATATGATTTTCCTGAAGTCTGATATGAGAAATTATGTGAAGGAAAAGAAGAGGTGCATTGCATAGTTTACATAGACCAATAGACACATAGATTATATTCAGATCATGATGCAAAATGATTTATTGCTCTTAAGTCAGAATATGCTCATTCCTGAAAATTCAGTGTCTACTCTTAGTAGACAATACTTGTGTCAGGTTAGAGATAAAATTTTCCAGGTAAGATTTTGATTAAAAAAATTCCCTTGAAACCTGGAAAATAAATTTACATATAAGCCTTCATACAGGTGTTCAGCCTAGGCTCAGGTTTGGGTCCTGAGATGGGGAACAGGTGTCAGCGCAAGGAAAAGTTCTGACCACCAGATGGATTGCACTCATGTGGTCCCAAATAGCTCAGGCCATTTACATTTATGTTGAAACACAGTTTTTCTTACCAGAATTACATAAACAGTTTTTATTATTGTCTTCTATTGTTGACTTTAAGAAATACATCATATTTTAAGGAATACATCATAATCATTATGAAAACCTCCATTGTTCCCTTTACACTTCCCGAAATGCACTTTCCCACCACATACATAACCTTATTTTAGACATAGAGTCCAGTATTTTTTCAGGCTTACCTAAATATCAAGCCAGATACATACTGCTCTCACAGTACAATGTCAGTTGGCAGCTGCTTGTCGTTACAAAGTTAAAATGTAATATATGCAGGCACAATGCTTTAAGGAAACAATATTTAAACTCAAAGAATTCTTTCATGTCTGCAAGATATACTTTTATGGAGTTTACTTTTATACAAGAGGGCCCCACGTCTCAATCTTTCTTTAAAAGGCAGACTATGATAAGGCACCCTTTTCCCATCCCACTACACCATACTTTTTTTCTTCCTTCATTCTTTCCTTCCTTATTCCCTTCCTTCCTTCCTTCCTTCCTTATTTCCTTCATTCCTTCCTTTCTTCCTTTCTTTCTTGGTTTCTTTCTTTCTTTCTTTCTTTCTTTTTTCAGTGTCTGAGAGCAGAAAACAAGTCTGCCTCCTCCTGGCAGTCCTGATGAAGATTACCCTCACAGATTGATCATGGCCTCCAGCCCCGACTGAAGAATAATGTGATTCCCCAAAGCCCAATGGACAAAAGGCCCATCTACCATACTTCTTCTGCCAATATAAGCTCCTGTGTATGGTAATGATGGATCTCTTCATCCTATATTTTACATTGCACTTCTCTCATTGGGTCATACTAGATATTATCATTGCTTCCATATGCTTTGGGACCAGAGAACATTCTCTCAATACTTGGCACTATTTATATTCCTGAGGCTTTCCTCGTATTCTGTGTATGCATGCTTTACTCTCCTCTCCAGAAATGTGTGATATGGTCAATGTTTCAAGTGTTATTTTCTAATATGCACCTACCTCTCTCTATTGAGTCAGAAAAGTTGGGAATTACGAATTGTAATTAGTAATTCCAGATAAGAGATTTGAGAAGCATTAGCCTCCTACTGAATCTTAAGGGAAAATATTCAAGGAACAACAAAATTTCTTGGGAAAATTTCAGCTATTGCATGTGTGACTGACAAAGTAAAATTAAAAATGTGCCCAAAGAATCACCAATATAATGAGAGAGAAAAGACCCTGTAAGCTTCATGAAGTTTCCAAATTCCTATGCTGTCCTGTGGACTACTTAATCCTTGCCAAGTGAGAGTATGATTATTCCACTGGTTCATTGCCCTGTCTCCACCTCCTGAGTACTGAGATTAAGTTAGAATATTTATAAATATTGATGAATCTTCATTCACCTTTGAATATTTCCTCCAAGTGAGAAATTAACAACTCACCTCAACCAGAGTAGGAATCATTCTTTGTTCCATCACTGTACAGCCATATTGTTTGTTCTGTAGATGTGTTTTTAGACATGCTGTCCTGTTATTGTAGTATATAAAGTAGACTATGTTGTACATTTTCTTATCTATCTTATATTTTAAATAATATATTTATTTGATAAATTAATTTACACATATGGAAATCGATTTGATCATATTTGAACACCAGTCTCATTCTCCCAAGCTCCAGGTTACCCACTCCTTACCACTTTGTGTCCTTTCTGTGATGAAGGGAATCCCATTTCTGTTGGCTATATGCTCAAAGATGTGGACCCATCCACTGGACAATGGGTGATGTACCAGGAGTTGCAGCTTACTGAAAATGAACTCTCTGTTTCCCAGAAGTCTGCAACTATTGTACCTATACAGATTACTCAGGTAGGGAGGTGTGGTTTTCATCACATATATATTGATATTTATGTAAACAAATTCAATTGAATATTGTCTTAAAAATACATAACAATACAAACATACTGACAAATCAGCCATCAAAGTAGTGCTTATAAATACCTCTGTATGCCCAGAGCTGGCAGGGCAAGACAGATTTGCGACGTATCAGAGCTTGGTGTTTGGGGGTTTTGCTTCTGTTTTCTGGATGCTGAAATATCTATTGAAGCACACTCACTCTCCACCCTCGAGGTTCACTGTCATCCTCCTTCATCTGGGTCTGTGAGATTCTGATTGTACCACCTGTTGGAAGCAACTGACATGTTCTGAGTACTTTGATTTTCTGAAATCCCTACCTACTGTATGTTTTACGTTTTATAACACCTATTTGATCCCGAAAAAAAGAGTACATTGAGATAGAACGTAATTTTACTTAATATCCTTTAGCAGTTTTTGAACATATAAGCTGAATTGAATATTACCTTTGTGGCCAGAGAAATTTTACCCAAATTGCTTTGCTTGATATTATTTTAAACTTTAAAATGTACTTCATATATGAGTTGTAATTTATATTGCTTGTATGCCATATTTTATTAAAATAAAACACAAAAGTATGTCTGAGGAAGTTAAGAGCTTGCCCTAAGGAATATACAAGACACAGCTGTAGATGAAATTCTTACTTGTTTCTCGCTTACTATTTCATAAAAGCTGAATCGATGTTTGTATATTTTCATCTGAATTTTTAGTAAAAAGCATGGGAAGCTTTTGACTCTCATGTGTGTAAGTATTACAGCTCTGAGAGGGAAGTTTTCTCCGAATGTTGCAGTTCTCAAGGGAAATCTTCAATGTGCATATTTGAGGGGGAAAGGTTTCTCCTATATAACTTATGCTCTGAAAGTAAAAGTATCCTGGCAGTTGGAAGCCAGTGAACACCACAAAGTCATACCCCAAAACAAACCTCATGCAGGAGGGTGAAGGAAGTGGCTGTCTCTGGTCTAGCCAGCAAGAAACTCAGTAGGAGACAGACTTACATGGGATTTCTTAGGGAAGGAGATTTCCAGGGTGGAGGTTGGGAAAATTTTACGTCCTAAACCTGAGCAAGACCAGAAATTGGTGGATTTTTATGCTCAGATATTGGTGCGTTTTGGTAAGTCTTTTCACCTGCAAGTGGTTTTGGACATTTTACTCTACAAGACCCAAAAATATGTACACTTCACATATATAAGCAAAGAGCAGAAGCTCCCAGCTTCCATATGCTTGTATAGGCTTCCAGCAGAAAGTGTTGCCCATATTAAAGGACTTCGTCTTTCTGCCTCGAGTAAGTTTAAAGGTGTGTCTCTTCTAGCTTCAAGGTCTGGGTTAAAGTGGATCTTACTACTTCAAGTTAAGCAAAAATAAATAAATAAGTTTTAAGTAAGTAAACATCCCTCACAGGTGTGCCTCCTTTACTAGATTTAGTTAATTCCAGATGTAGCCATCTTGGCAACCAAGTATAGCTATCCCAGGGTGATTCTGGGAGTGATCCATTTTCTGCTGCCACTCAGATTCAGTAGCTGTTTCCCAAGGAATAGCTGATGCTGTCACTTACCGTCTTGAATCCCATTGTATAGATGTAATTGAATGAGCCTCCATTGATACATAAAGCTGACAGTTTCTTCAAAGAACTTTAAGAAGTCATGATGCCAAGAAATACTGCAAGCTGGGACCCCAAGAAAACAGGCAGGTACACTCAGTTTGCAATATGATGGCAAGGAGGTCCTTTTCCATTAGAGGCCTGGGAGCTCAGAAATCTATGGATATTTTGATGCGACCTATAAAATAGACAAGCAAGGAAGAATGTCTGCATTTCACTTCATGCTCACATTTCAGGATAGAATCAGATGGATCTAATGGTTGGATGATATATTGAATACTTTAAAGAAGTCATATATTCAAATTAACCATTGACAACTTACCAGTACTACAAATACTTGTATTCTAGTGTACAATGAACACTACTCATACAGGAGTTTGACAGTCTGAAAAAATAGAAATGTATTTATTCAGAGGATTGTGAGAAGTCTCACAATTGTGACACAGACAGACAGGTATCTGCAACCATTGGAATTAATTCAGATGACATTTACATCACCCTCAGACAGAGGACAGTAATTTGTGTCTACATGTAGGAACATTATTTCCCTCTGAACATAAGGGGAATCATGCTTTATCAGTATTTTTCTGGAGGGGTTCAATACACTTCTCCCTTTGAAACAAATAAGCATCTAGTAATTTCATGGTCAGACAATCAGGGAGGCGCTAGTGGGAATGGAAGGAAATGCTAGAAACACCAGATTTGTAATCATTGATTAGTGACAGCATGTACCTGGGGGGTGATTTTATAGAGCTATCCTTTACATTTCTTTATTAGATATTCACTAGATTACAAAAACTTTAACTTCTTCCTGCGCCATATTTTATTCATGTATTTAGGTACAATCACACACATGCACATGCAAAAATGCCAACAAAAAAGAGGCCATAAATTTAAGAGAGCAAGAGCATGTGGGATGATCTAAATGGAATGGAAAATTTTATCACTATATTATATTCTCAAAAATAAAATATTTTTAAAATTTACTAAGACTTTAAAAAAATAAAGACAACTATGAAGAGAAAAATATCTGCTTCCCTTTGCCAAGAGTATTTTTCAAAGTAGAAGGGAACAGATAAATATTATACTACTTTAACAGTATAATAAATTATGTTCTAAGTAAGAGTTATTGTTTGATTATTTAAGTATAAATATTACAAAGGTATTAAATACTGACCATCAGCAGACAACTATTCATTATTTGGTGATGTCTGATAGAGGTTGTCACTTGACTTTGGTTTTGTTTGGTTTTGGTTTTGGTTTTTAAAGACAGGGTCTCACTGTATTGTTTTGGAGGCTGTCCTGGAACTCACTCTGTAGAACAGGCTGGCCTCGAACTCACTGAGATCTGCCTGACTCTGCCTCCCGAGTGCTGGGATTAAAGGCATGTGCCACCAATGCCAGGCTGACTTTGTTTAACTTAGTAAATTCAGCTAAGAAAGTTGCATAGCCTCTTATTTATTGTTAGTGCTCTTTGTGGATATTGTGAAAATTTTATTTTGTATCAGGTGTTTCTACATTACCTTTCTTAATGAAAGGTAAAAATGCTTAATTACTCACTAATACCAGATACTATATTTTTAATTGGTGATATCTGAAAACTACTTTATATTTTTGAAAAGTAAGCAAATAACACCCATTTTAAATATGAATACTTACCTTTATTACTACAATATATGATTTATTCATAATAACTCTGTCTAGGTTTCCAAAATACCTGATATATGAAAATGATTTTCAAAGCATCATATTTCATATTCATGAACTTTTAAATACTACTTTGAAAGTGAGTGGCACTAAGCTGATGCAGATGGACTAATATTTATAACTGAATAAGACATCTATGTCTCAGTGTATATACTCTAAATGGTATTATGCCTGCATGTCAATTATTAGATAAACCGTGAACAGTGGTGATTTGTGACTTGAAATGAAGCTGTCAGTATCTATTTATTTTGGCTTGTAAACATATGGTCTTCTATATAGAATATACTACTACTTGTAGCTACTGATGAGATGTGGACAGTATCTCAGAGCATCATCAACCAATTAACAGTCAGAGTACTGGAGATGAGATGAGATGAGATGGGATAAAAGAAACATGAAGTTAAGATATTATAAGGATGACTTTGTACACCATTATTTTTCTACTAATTTTCTCTTTTAGGCAAATTATTGCTAATTTCCTCTATTATAGGTACGCCAGAATCCATGCTTTTAAAATAAAAATGGGAATAT